CTACCGCATCTCCTGCAACTTCCTCTAATGTATCTGCTTGTGAGTCCCAGGCATCTTGTTTAGATCTCCATCTATGCTGCGGGGGATACTGTCGGCGGTGCGGGGGATACTGTCGGCGGTGCGGGGGATACTGTCAGCACTGCGGGGTATACTGTCGGCGGTGAGTTTAATTGGAAGAACACTATCACTAATCTGTGTCAGAGCGCGTGGTCAGTCTCCCCGCCATGTCGCTATTATCGTCTGTAATGTTGCGTGTCTCGAAATTGTCAATGGTCGCTAATTTCGTGTTGTTGCGTCTCTTGAAATCGTCAGGTAATCCAAGTTTTGCCGCTATTTGTTTGTCGCAGTAAGTCCAACAAGTCCGCATTTTTCATAGGACTGAGGCCCTGTTAGGGTATTTGTTTGACCGGGGTAGAAGTTCGGAGAGCCATAATATGCTAGTCAGGTGTGTGTGTTATAGTTATTGCGTGAGAGGAAAGGTGTGATATACATTAAAGACATACATACATATATAAAGAGAGAGAGAGAGAGAGACGCAGAAATATACTATGCTGTTAATACTGACCCAAAAAATGAAATTATTTTTAGTAATGAAGCAGCGACCAATAAAACAAAACTTAGATCCACGACAAGAGACTGTCTCCTCAACTCAACACGAATCCTGGACTTCTTGGAGCAGACGGCAACAACAATTCCGGCGTGACCTCCCTTGTCTGTCCGGGAAGTCCCGGTGTGTCCGCCAGAATCTTTTGTTATTGTGTGCCGTCTCCACACTAAAAGTTGGCTACTGTCACGACCTCCTGCAGCTGTGGCTACAGCGTACCGCTGCTGTTTGGATATTAGTATGGGATGGTGCTCCAGCCGCTTCCGCGGTGCCACAGTCGTCCGAAATTAAAAAGAACTGGCGTTCTTTAAATAACCACTTCCCCGTGGACATCGAACAACCAGTCAACTTGCCGGTGTTATCTGGGTACTTATAATAGTGGGGAGAGTAGAAACATAATTCGAAGTACGCGGGGAGGGGAAACTACACCACTATAGGATATACACCATGGAATCTACAGTGTAAGATTCCAACCTGTCACCTACAGGTTAAAAAAAAAATCCTGAAGGTACAAGCTTGTGGCCTTCAACGCACAGCTAATTAGAAACCTGGAAAACGATGTAATTGGAAGAGAACGGGTTCGAATTCCCTCAAGCTTTCACTGTTGATAATGCCCCCATCCCATGCTTTCGCCTAAAATTTTGTATCGGGGCATAACTGCACAGGCCTTGTCTGCGTCCTAACTGTAATATTTGAGATTTTCGGCAGGGAGATACAATTTTCTTCGGGTATGCATTGACCGGGTTTGCCCTTTCAGCATGTTTTGTGGGTCATTACATGACCTCTTGGTTGTGTCTTCATCGTTGCCTCATTATATACTGGCAGTATCCCTGGCATATGACGTGTACGATTGTCTGTCGGTCGGACCTCTTGAGAAGACTGGGGAAGAGCATGCGCATTTCCCGCAATCCAAGAAGGCTTACGAGTAACGAGTGCACACTACGCACGATGATCTGATGCTGGGCTCGCACAAGGAAATATTATATCGTGCACACCACACACGATGCTCTGATACTGGGCTCGCACAAGGAAACATTACATCGTGTACACTACACACGATGCTCTGATACTAGGCTCGCACAAGGAAACATTACATCGTGTACACTACACACGATGCTCTGATACTGGGCTCGCACAAGGAAACATTACATCGTGTACACTACACACGATGCTCTGATACTGGGCTCGCACAAGGAAACATTACATCGTGTACACTACGCACGATGCTCTGATACTGGGCTCCCACAAGGAAACATTACATCGTGTACACTACGCACGATGCTCTGATACTGGGCTCACACAAGGAAACATTACATCGTGTACACTACACACGATGCTCTGATACTGGGCTCACACAAGGAAACATTACATCGTGTACACTACACACGATGCTCTGATACTGGGCTCGCACAAGGAAACATTACATCGTGTACACTACGCACGATGCTCTGATACTGGGCTCACACAAGGAAACATTACATCGTGTACACTACACACGATGCTCTGATACTGGGCTCACACAAGGAAACATTACATCGTGTACACTACGCACGATGCTCTGATACTGGGCTCACACAAGGAAACATTACATCGTGTACACTACACACGATGCTCTGATACTGGGCTCGCACAAGGAAACATTACATCGTGTACACTACGCACGATGCTCTGATACTGGGCTCGCACAAGGAAACATTACATCGTGTACACTACGCACGATGCTCTGATACTGGGCTCGCACAAGGAAACATTACATCGTGTACACTACACACGATGCTCTGATACTGGGCTCACACAAGGAAACATTACATCGTGCACACTGAGGGTGGGGGCATTAATGTAGCATTTTGCTCACTTTGAGCAGTGTCTTGTTCAAAACTAAACAATGCTAGTTAACAACCCTGGGGCAGCAGAACCTTGAGCCCACACTCAGAGAAAATTTGCTAGCAGGCTTAATAACCCCCCCCCCCCCCCCCATGTATAGGCGTTCTCTTTTGAAATGTTTTTTTTATATATTTTATATTATTATTACAATATTCTCATATTTATTTGTCATTCAGCATATAATACTGCACACTTAAACAAGCCTTAAGCAGTCCCTGAAAATTATAAGGGGAATGAGCCCCCCCCCCCCCCCCCCCCCCCCCCCCCCCCCCCCCCCCCCCCCCCACCACCCCCCCCCCCCCCCCCCCCCCCCAATGATTTCTTTGTGGGGACGCTCACCTCTGACCCAAAACTCATGTCTCCCCATCAATTTTCGATGAATTTCATAAGACGACTCACACCATCTTGCAACTTCATTATGTCTGACTTTATTAGAAACTAATTACTCAAACCAGTTTAAATCCTTGTTTTGTCCACTGGTTTTAAAGCGACACGAGTCTTACACCATTCATGTCGTTTGTGGACTATGTTCAATGTACCTAATTATTTAAGGCTCACATCTTCTTTCTCAGATGTTTCATGAAACATACCAAAAATTATTCCATTCCTCTTCCTAAATATCTGATTTCATTGTTACATCGTGAACATTCATTGAACAATTCACCAGACAGACATCAGAAATGATAATAATAATAAGAAAAACCGAAACTTCCATTTACAAGATATAAGTAAAAGAACTACACAAGACATAATGGTAGGCATCGTGGAATTTAATGTATGTAACAAATTCATCATGATCTGTAAGAAAACAATGTAGTCCATCTAACATTGATGACATTCTTACTTCAACACTAAACAAACAATAAAGCTCTCACATACTCGTAACTGGCCTAGAAATTACTGGTCTCAAATAAGTGATAAGACTGAGGATGTTGGAAAACATTTAACAGCTAACCATTACCAATCTGCATCTTCTGTTGATCATTCTAACTGGCTGATGCATGTAAACAGTGTTGTGATGACTTGTTAATGATAGTATTCGATTCCCTGTGGATTCCGGAGCCTCATTGTGGGGACAACAAGAATAGACCCGCTGCCTCCACAACAAGCATGTCCTAGGATTCGAATAATTGGGAGCTTCATTTAAAGTCAGAGTGCAACTGAGCGGCAAGGAACAACAAACTGCACATAAATAAGCCAGTAAAATGGAAGTAAAAGCAAAACTCAGGCCCAGGCACAAAATTCAAGTCCAAGTGGACAAACAACCAGGACCTTCTGCCGGAGCTTACAGTCGGTAAACAAAGAACAACAACATATGTATCTAAATCTGCTTCCTTCCCTGGGGTGTAAAGTCACCAACAGCCTTTCCTCTTGCCCAATAGAATGCAGAGCTACCTGTTAGCATACACAAATGTTATCTTGGCATAATTACAGAGTCTTGTCTGTATGTGGGAAACAAGTCAATTAGATAGTCCACGGGAAATCAAACTTCAGACTTTCACTACAGCAAGCATATGGTTGCCACCAAGGCATTCATTCTCTCTGTATGATTTTAGCTGTAGCTTCCATCACGTGCAAGTGTCCCCAGGTATGATGCAGTGTCTTCTCTTACAGACAAACATTGATATCTATGTTAAAATCACCAGAGCCCACAGGGGAAGCAAAGCATAGCATCATCTACCATGTGTGACATTAGCCGCCTCAACCAGTAAACACTGAAGCTGCAAAATCCAACCAATCAGCAACAAGGCTACAAAGAGCTAGCTAGCATGAGTTGGCTGAGGCCAAACCACTATGGGGTGGAAAAATGAGAATATTGACAGCTATACATGGATTCAAATTAAGAATAGTTTCAAAGATAACCAGTTCAGAGTGGAACAGACAGATGATACAATTTCAGCTATGCAAACGTGTACGATTGTTGTAGTCTTCCATGTTGGTCCAAACAAGCCAGAAATGTTGCTCCTCACATGACACTTCTGTCAGCACATCTTCAACACAAATTAAATGAAACTGAAACTAAGCTACCACTATTACACAATCAACTTGACTGCCCTCCAGACATGCCCAATGGTGCTCAGTCACTGTTTTAGCTCATGTTTGTACTCAAAATGTAATTGCCTAAAGCAAGTTTGTGGATATTTTTTCTGCTAAGATTTTACAAACTGGAACAAGCAACAAACACATCACACATTGCTGGACTACAGGGTGAATATTCTTTCTCTTCTTATGATCACATTGTCAATATTTACATAATCAGACACATTTTCATGATGGAAGTATCTAGTTACATACAACCAAAGGCCAGAATTCAGACAACACAAGACCAATCACAATAAGGTGGAGCACTTCTCTGACCTTAAAACATTAACTAGCATTTCAAAAGCATTAACTTGCATTTCAACAACAGCCTTGCTGGCTACACCAGGCATGTCACAGTGTCATAGGTCAACTCATTAGAACCTCAATCTGGATCAGCCCTACGACACCAGGCATGTCACAGGGTCGTAGGTCAACTCATGAGAACCTCAATCTGCACCAGCCTTACGTTTGTATCGCCCGGCAGGCGATACGGCAACATGCCAGCAAACATGATCAAGGTCCTGGCGTGGCTGCGCAGGTAATTCAGGTACTGGGGACATATACAAGACAGTGTTAGCAACTAGCAGGTAGGTAATTTAGGTACTGGGGACAGATACAAGACAGTGTTAGCAACTAGCAGGTAGGTAATTCAGGTACTGGGGACAGATACAAGACAGTGTTAGCAACTAGCAGGTAGGTAATTCAGGTACTAGGGACAGATACAAGACAGTGTTAGCAACTAGCTGGTAGGTAATTCAGGTACTGGGGACAGATACAAGACAGTGTTAGCAACTAGCAGGTAATTCAGGTACTGGGGACAGATACAAGACAGTAGGTATGGAAAACATTAACAAACAAACTTTTTGTTGATGACCAGGCTGTGATAGCAGATACAGCCATAAAATTGCAATTTTGCTTCCATACATGATGGAACAATGTAAAACAAATAAAATGAGAATCAACACTGGAAAAAAAAAAAGACAAAAGTAATAACAACGAGAACAAGGAAACAGAACTTAATAAATATAACGGCAGAGTGCAAACACATTAAACAGGAATATGAGTTTCAATACCTGGGAATAACATTTACCGACAAAACATGGTTCCTCACAAATCATAAGAGAAAAGTCCGCACAGAACTAATATTAAATGAAATACAAAGACAGCAAATCAAATGGCTTGCCCACAAATAGAAAATGCCTTGCGACGCCTTACCATTCTAGACATGCACACAAAATAGGAGAGGAGCGCTGAGGACGTGGCAAATAGAAACAAGAAAGAAAATGTAAAATATTATGGTCAAGGCAGCCAGAAGAAAAGAACCCTTGACACCTTAGCGGTAATTTAAAAGAGGAAGTGAATAAGGAGAAAAAGATTAATCATCAATCAATCCTCATCGTGCCCAGAGGCACATAAGGCACAGACAAACTGTCACCACTCAATTTGATCCTGAGCCATCCTCTCTCTATCTCCAGTTTTGTCCTTTGCAAAGCCTTGATTTCAGCCTCAAAGGTTCACCTCCAAGTGCCTCTGGACCTGCCTCTTCCTCGCTGTCCTTGTTGTGTCCCATTGCATTGCCTGTCTTGGTTGTCTCTTTCTTCATTCTGAGGACGTGTCCAATCCACCTCCATCTTCGTTTTTTTTAAATTTCTAAATTTACATTTTCTAAGTCTGTCATTTGTTGTAATCTAGAATTGCTTGATTTTATCTTCCCATGTGTGACAGAGATAAAAAACAGAATAGGTCAAGCGAAAGCTGCATTTCAAACAATGAAAAAATATCTTATGCAATAAATCACTTTCATTTAATGTCAGAAAGAGGATGCTAAAATGTCCCAAAGAACCTGTTCTGCTGTATGACAGCGAATTTTAGAATGTCAGTGAACAAATTAGGAAGAATTTGGAAGCAATAGAGATGTGGTTTCTGAGACGAATATCTTGGACGGCCAGAGTAACTAACAACGAGTGCTTGAAAGAAGCTAATGAAAATAGATCTCTATATACAACAATAAGAAAGAGACAAACACTGTTCTTTGGCCACACAATGAGAAAAGAGACATTAAAGAACATCGTGACAACTGGAAAGATCAGTGGAAAAAGGGGTAGAGGCAGACCAAGAGAGATGATGCTGGATGGGCTTAAATGATGGCCTGAATTGATATCAACAAGAGAGCTGTTCCAGTCAACCAGGGATCAAGATTTGTGGAGACGCATCAGCGCCTACGCCAGTTGGCAGGGCACATGATGATGATGTGAACCCCAACAATCTCAAAGAAGAAGATAATTGAAGATACTTTCTCACAGTCAATGCTGTAGAGTGCAGGTCACCATAGGTGTAAACAAAATAAATTAATTGTGTATAATGAATTAAGAAACAAAACAATGATGTTTATAGAAAAGTGCTAGTTTAAATGTGCAGGAAAACAAAAGTTTAGGATAAAACACTTTGTCTGAGGCAACGGTTCTCAACCTGTGGGTCACGACCTTTTTGTGGGTCAAATGACCTTTTCACAGGGGTCGCCAAAGTCCATCGGAAAACACATACTCACTGAAGTTATGAAAAAGCAACGAAAGTAATTGTATTTTTGGGGGGGTGGCTACAACATAAAGGACTGTCTCAAAGGGTCGCGGCATTAGGAAGGTTGGGAATCACTGCTTTAAGAGATACAGATAAAATTTGGCAGCAAGAAGCAGGTAATTTGGGGAAACCTTGAGGGGAAATGATGGAGGGGGGAGTGGAATATGTCATGACAGCATAAAAGCTGTTGAAAATGAAAGACAGAGAGAGAGACTAACAGACAGAAATGTCAGTTTGGCATGCAGGGAGGGACAGAGCACTGATTAGTAGCAGAAAGCTACAGAAGTGCTTGCTCACTGCCCCTGCTTCTGCACTGTTGTTGTGTATTTAGGCTAGTGTGAGGACCTGGGGACCATCAAATTGTCCCACTGGTTCTGCACTGTTGTTGTGTATTTAGGCTAGCGTGAGGACCTGAGGACCATCAAATTGTCCCACTGGTTCTGGGAACCTCTGCTATGAGTCCAATGTGGCAGTTTCAGTGATATAGTCTACATAATCATTTTAAAAAAACATACAAATGCTAATACTTTGTTGTTCTAAGGCTGGCTTTCTCTCAGACATCTCCTCTCTATAGCTTGCTGCCTTTGGCCTCTTTCAAATGGTGACAGTCTGACTTTCACAATTTGCCCCCAAGGGAGTCAGCCTGCAGCAGATCTCTCACAAGTGTCTGGGTCAATGCTGATATCTTTCAGGTCACGTCTGCATATGTCCTTATAGCGTAGATTTGTTCTTGCTCCAGGTCTAAACCCTGTTACCAATTACCATCAGGAGATCGTTTGGAATGCAATCGTCGTCCATTTGAGAGACATGTCCCAACCAATGCAGACGTCTGTGCTTCAGTAGAAAGTACATTGCTGGCATTCCTGCTCTTTTGAGTGCACATTCATTGGGGACAAAGTTTTGCCATGATACACCAAGAATGCGTCTCATACAGCACATGTCTGTTTTCTTGAGAAGCATAGAGTCCAGGTTTCACTACCGTAAAGGAGTGTGCTCAGGACTTTAATTCTGGTCCTATCTGTAAACTTCTTGTTTGACCACTCTTGCTGTCAGTTTGAAAAGCACTGCAGAAGCCTTTCCTATAGTCTGTTTAGTTCTACATCTAGGGAAAGATCATTCTTGTGTATAAAGTCAACAAACATAAAGTGTGGGCAGTCAACAAACATAAAGTGTGCACAGTCAACAAACATAAAGTGTGGACAGTCAACAAACATAAAGTGTGGACAGTCAACAAACATAAAGTGTGGGCAGTCAACAAACATAAAGTGTGGACAGTCAACAAACATAAAGTGTGGACAGTCAACAAACATAAAGTGTGGGCAGTCAACAAACATAAAGTGTGGACAGTCAACAAACATAAAGTGTGGACAGTCAACAAACATAAAGTGTGGACAGTCAACAAACATAAAGTGTGGACAGTCAACAAACATAAAGTGTGGATAGTCAACAAACATAAAGTGTGGGCAGTCAACAAACACAACGCGTGGACAGTCAACAAACACAAAGTGTGGACAGTCAACAAACACAAACTGTGGACAGTTGACAAACTTACAGTGTCCTTGCCCCCATCATCCACCAGCCCCAGCCTGGCCACTGTTGTGTGTGCACCAGAAGCCCTGAAACAGACATTAGATCCTCAAATATCTTCACACAGACATTAGACCATCAAATATCTTCACACAGACATTAGATCCTCAAATATCTTCACACAGACATTAGACCATCAAATATCTTCACACAGACATTAGATCCTCAAATATCTTCACACAGACATTAGACCATCAAATATCTTCACACAGACATAAGATCATCAAATATCTTCACACAGACATTAGATCCTCAAATATCTTCACACAGACATTAGATCCTCAAATATCTTTACACAGACATTAGACCATCAAATATCTTCACACAGACATTAGATCCTCAAATATCTTCACACAGACATTAGATCATCAAATATCTTCACACAGACATTAGATCCTCAAATATCTTCACACAGACATTAGACCATCAAATATCTTCACACAGACATTAGATCCTCAAATATCTTCACACAGACATTAGACCATCAAATATCTTCACACAGACATAAGATCATCAAATATCTTCACACAGACATTAGATCCTCAAATATCTTCACACAGACATTAGATCCTCAAATATCTTTACACAGACATTAGACCATCAAATATCTTCACACAGACATTAGATCCTCAAATATCTTCACACAGACATTAGACCATCAAATATCTTCACACATACATTAGACCATCAAATATCTTCACACAGACATTAGACCATTAAATATCTTCACACAGACATTAGATCCTCAAATATCTTCACAAAGACATTAGATCCTTAAATATCTTCACACAGACATTAGATCATCAAATATCTTCACACAGACATTAGATCATCAAATATCTTCACACAGACATTAGAACATCAAATATCTTCAAACAGACATCAGACCATCAAATACCTTCACAGACATTAGAACATCAAATATCTTCACACAGACATTAGACGATCAAATACCTTCATACAGACATCAGACCATCAAATATCTTCACAAAGACATAAGACCATCAAATACCTTCACACAGACATCAGACCCTCAAATATCTTCACAAAGACATCAGACCATCAAATATCTTCACACAGACATCAGACCATCAAATATTTTCACAAAGACATCAGATCACCAAATATCTTCACACAACACCCAGTATCACACGAGCGGTCAGCATCTTGGACCAGATTTTCCTATCACTGACAGATTCTCTAACAAGAGACCCCAGATATCTACATCTGTCTTTACTGCCATTGCTTACTTTTTCACTTTAAGCAGATGGGAAGAAAAGGACACTTGTGGTTGGGCTTAATTTCCCGTAAACAGTTTTCTGAATTGCTCAACAACAGCATTTAGGAGTAATCCTCCTTGGAGTTCAACAGCTAAAGCCAAGCTGATGTCAGATTTTCTCCTAAGTCTCGGTAGTAGAGGTCATGGGATAAGCCACTTGATACATGTGTTTCTGGGGGCGGTGGGGGATAACATAACCCTTGACCTGTTAGGGTCGTGGAGGTGAACTGATGGGAGCACTAGCACAGAAAACCCACCATCTTTCTCTGTCTTCTGCTTGATGAATAAGTGTATGATAACTTAGTCCTGTTCATTTCTTGATGTTGTCATTCCAGATTTTTCTTTACCCCCCTCTTCTTCAACAAACCCCTATTGTTCCTTGAAGCAAATTTGTCTATTTTGTCTCTGACATATTTATTAGTTTTGTGTTCTAAATTCCTGAATCGTAAAACGCGTGTGTAGCATTTAAATTCCCAAGCCTGAATTCTCCTGTCGATTTCCACAGTGAGAGTCCAACTCTCGCATCCGTATAAGAAAATAGACAATATCAATGATTTGTAGATATTGATCTTAACTGCGATGCTGATTTAGCTCTTCCACATTGTATTCAGCTGGGATATCCTGGCTGTTGCAATATCAAGTGGGGGATGTATTCCTGGATTCCATCAAATGTTTATGATTATTCTTTTCATATATTATGATATATTTTGAAAAATAGTTGTAAATATCGATACATGCATTTGTTACAGATTTATAAGTGTAAAAAATTTTTTAATTGCTTTTACAGATTTTTTCTGGGAATCCTAAAGAGTTTTTTTTTTTTTAATAGTTCCCAGAGCCAAAGTGATACGGCTGGTCAGACAGGAAAAAGGGGGCTGGGGGCCTTAAGCCTAAGGGTTTAGGGCAGCAAGGCTGGTGCAGTCCATAAACTGTGCAGTCCATAAACTGTGTAGTCCATAAACTGTGCAGTCCATAAACTGTGCAGTCCATAAACTGTGCAGTCCATAAACTGTGCAGTCCATAAACTGTGCAGTCCATAAACTGTGCAGTCCATAAACTGTGCAGTCCATAAACTGTGCAGTCCATAAACTGTGCAGTCCATAAACTGTGCAGTCCATAAACTGTGCAGTTCATAAACTGTGCAGTCCATAAACTGTGCAGTCCATAAACTGTGCAGTCCATAAACTGTGCAGTCCATAAACTGTGCAGTCCATAAACTGTGCAGTCCATAAACTGTGCAGTCCATAAACTGTGCAGTCCATAAACTGTGCAGTCCATAAACTGTGCAGTCCATAAACTGTGCAGTCCATAAACTGTGCAGTCCATAAACTGTGCAGTTCATAAACTGTGCAGTCCATAAACTGTGCAGTCCATAAACTGTGCAGTCCATAAACTGTGCAGTCCATAAACTGTGCAGTCCATAAACTGTGCAGTCCATAAACTGTGCAGTCCATAAACTGTGCAGTCCATAAACTGTGCAGTCCATAAACTGTGCAGTCCATAAACTGTGCAGTCCATAAACTGTGCAGTCCATAAACTGTGCAGTCCATAAACTGTGCAGTCCATAAACTGTGCAGTCCATAAACTGTGCAGTCCATAAACTGTGCAGTCCATAAACTGTGCAGTCCATAAACTGTGCAGTCCATAAACTGTGCAGTCCATAAACTGTGCAGTCCATAAACTGTGCAGTCCATAAACTGTGCAGTCCATAAACTGTGTAATCCATAAACTGTAATCCATAAACTGTGCAGTCCATAAACTGTGCAGTCCATAAACTGTGTAGTCCATAAACTGTGCAGTCCATAAACTGTGCAGTCCATAAACTGTGCAGTCCATTAACTGTGAAGTCCATAAACTGTGCAGTCCATAAACTGTGAAGTCCATAAACTGTGCAGTCCATAAACTGTGTAGTCCATAAACTGTGTAGTCCATAAACTGTGTAGTCCATAAACTGTGTAGTCCATAAACTGTGCAGTCCATAAACTGTGCAGTCCATAAACTGTGCAGTCCATAAACTGTGTAGTCCATAAACTGTACAGTCCATAAACTGTGCAGTCCTGTGACGAAATGACCTCAGTGGTCTCAGAAGTTATATTGTGTTTAATAATTTCTTATGTTCAGAGAAGGACAAAGAATTATAAGCAATATGCACTGAACCTAAAATAGTTCTAAAACCACTACAAGGGATTTGAAAATTGTTTAAACTTTTTTTCCCTGTCTCTCGCCAAACAAAGCAACCCCGCTTGTTGTAATATTGCCTATTACTACCTTAGTTAGAGATTCCTTTCACCAGCCAGTGTAATAAAACTATCTCCTGCCCACAGACTGCAGGGGCCAGTAAATGGGTAAATAACTTAGTATCACACCTGAGATTATCTACCCTGAACCCAACCCTAGTGTCATAAATGTTACATAACACAGACTGAGTGGGGCCTTTGAACACAGCAGATCAGGGGATTTAAGTGGCCTGGTAGACAACTCTAGAGACAGGATGGCGTCCAGTGGCTGGGGTTTCACACATGTCAGTGAAATTCTCAGGAGAACAGATGGTTGCCAAGTAGGAATGTCTGATCTTGGTCAAGGTCGTACTGTAGGCCGTTTACTTTGAGTGACAGACCCATTGATAGCTATGTTGATCTGAAAGGTACCTCAGGGGCATGGCTTAGGTCATCTCCTGGAGGGTTGGGTAGAACATAGTAAAGGGAGGAGTTCAACCTTGCAGACAGATAGAGGTATTAATAAGACTAGCCTGTGGAATTCCCGTCATAATCGCTGCCACGAGCAACAAACAGAGGTCGACATTAGAGGTAATTCTAATTGTTTGATTCTGGTTTGGCGATTGCTGGAATGTCCCAGGTAAGCTTGTACAATTATTTTCAATCTTTTATACATAGGTTAGGGAGTTAGCTAAGCCTATTCTACCTTTTCCTAATTTGTCTACACATTCTGCTTGAAATAGTTCTTTGTGAGTATTCAGTATCTCAGTTAGGGAACTGCTAAACCATCTCTATTTCTTGTCTGTTTGTGCCACATGTTTTTCAGTGTATGTTTTCATGTTTATAAAATAAGACTTGTATACTGAAATATAATGAAATTATAATGTTTCAACCATCAACCAAAACATAAGTTTGGACTGTGGGAAATGATGCCCACATATGCAGCTATGCTGTTACTTTTTGTGTGCCCACCATGTGCTCACTTAAATGTGTTCACCTAAACAGGGGATTTATAACCCCAGGGAAAGAATCATGGGTGTATATTATTCACTGTCACTGAAAGATAATATTCAGGACAGCATGCACGTATAAAATGTTTGGCGTGTTCAGCACATAACCTGCGCCACATGTTTATGTTAAATCAATGTCAGCAAGTTGGAAGTCTGAGTGATGACGGACAACAGACTTAGAAAGTCAATTATCATGACAGAACATGAGAGGGAAGGCAGGATATGTTAGACGTCGATGTGAGACACTGTGATGAGGTGCTGTGCATGGTCTTCACGATTACATAGAGGCAAGCAGAAAGTCCGTGCAACAAGGGACAGCACGAGATACTTGTGCCTAGTCGAGGAAGCGAGGGAAACCCCGAGCTAGCCTCGTGGTCAGTCGATCATCAGAAGTCAGAGAAGACGGTTGTAGTATTTGAAGATGTCGTCTTTATGTTGCGCAAATGTTTAATGTTCGAATATGTCGCGAGTGAAAAAAATGTGAATAATGTGTTGAACATGTGAAATAAATGGACGAGAATAAACTGACAGAATGTACCAAGAAGCTGAGCGGCGTTTGTGTTGTCAACCCTAGACGTTAAAGTTGGTGTAAACCAAGGTTCATGTCAAGTCAAGTCTACGTCACGCTTCATTCCAAGTAGACTACGATTTATTACAAGAGAAGTTACGACTTATTACAGACACAAAGACCTTCAGACTAGACTGCAGAGAATGTGGAATATGAGGAGGAGTGATGAGATATAATGTATTATTATATATTGTATTAATTGACACATGTATTCTTAGTGTAAGTCAAGATACTACACGTATGTGTTTGTTTCCATTTTTACAGCTCCCATGTGGGTGTCGATCAGTCTTTTCTGAGAACAGAAATAGAGGATCATCACGGGCAGGAGACTACACTGTGTTAGAACTCAACCAGGTGGGAGAACCAGGTGGGACCAGGAGATCTGGGCGGAAAGGTTGGAACAGCTAGGAAGGGATTCAACACGAGGACTCTCAGAAGTTCCACTTTCAAAAATAACAAAAGTTATGTATCATGTATTTATGTAACTAAACACCCCAATTATCACTTCACTCTCATCTTAGGTGCTCAGTTAGCTGAAGCATCTCATTACCACCATACCATCACTGTTGACTAAAAATATAAATAACCAAAATAATTGCTAGGTTAATAAATCAATTATATGGTCTTATCCTGCATCAGTTTTTATAATTCCAAGTGTGTCTGTTCTTACATGTTTAATTAAACTGTTAAGATAGAATAGCATTTGGTGGGAGCTCATTAAATAATAATAACATTAATTCTTTACCAAGAAGGTCGACGGAAAGGGTCAACTGCCCTGTCTAGTAAGTCATTCAATATAATAATATAGACATCTAAAACCCTTTTACTTCTCTGGTGGATACCAAGTGCAGCTAGTGTTAAAATAATTAACGACCCAATATGGCTGTGTTGTTGGATATCCAGGACTTTGTCTGAGAGCAACATAGCACGGATATTAGTTCAGTTAACCTGGTGGAGGGGATGTGTTGAGAGGGAAATTTCCTACTCAACATATAAAATTCAGTTAAACCCAAATCCAGGGAACCCACGACCCGTTACATATCACTAAAGTTTTGTAATAACAAAGGGGAGTGGGCTGTTACGTCACAAGTCCATAAACTGTGTAGTTCATAAACTGTGCAGGTTAGGATTTGTGTTTTTGACCTGACAAAAAAACTATTTATTATCTTACTGGTTCAAACTTTAATGGGAGAGATCAAAGCTTCAGCTACACCAGCACTGCTGATATGGTTGGCAAAGCTCATGTTTCACATTCTTTTCTGACTATTTCTGATGCCTGTGAGAGCCAGAATGGTGCAGTGAACAGCATACTTGCCTGCCAGCCTTGGCTATTGTCTGTCACTGATTGGTCAAGACAGGATATTGGGAAAAACCAATCAATGTCCAACAGAGTCAAACTATCATAAACTAACTGAACATGCCTGGCTGACACACAAGAAACATGCCTGGCTGACACAAGAAACATGCCTGGCTGACACACAAGAAACATGCCTGGCTGACACAAGAAACATGCCTGGCTGACACACAAGAAACATGCCTGGCTGACACAAGAAACATGCCTGGCTGACACAGAAGAAACATGCCTGGCTGACACAAGAAACATGCCTGGCTGACACACAAGAAACATGCCTGGCTGACACACAAGAAACATGCCTGGCTGACACACAAGAAACATGCCTGGCTGACACACAAGAAACATGCCTGGCTGACACACAAGAAACATGCCTGGCTGACACAAGAAACATGACTGGCTGACACACAAGAAACATGCCTGGCTGACACACAAGAAACATGTCTGGCTGACACACAAGAAACATGCCTGGCTGACACACAAGAAACATGCCTGGCTGAGACAAGAAACATGCCTAGCTGACACACAAGAAACATGCCTGGCTGACACACAAGAAACATGCCTGGCTGACACACAAGAAACATGCCTGGCTGACACACAAGAAACATGCCTGGCTGACACAAGAAACATGCCTGGCTGACACAAAGAAACATGCCTGGCTGACACAAAGAAACATGCCTGGTGGACAGACTGACCTGGTGCTGTTGTATTTGTTGAGAAGTATGTTCATGGTGGCCAACAAAAGGTCGGGTAGACATCTTCGAATCTTAGAGAGAATCAAACAAGACAGTCAGTCAAGCTGACATCAACACACACACACACACAAACAAACATACACACACACACAAACACATTGATTCTGATCCATACAGTAGGGATTTTGCTATCACAGCAAACATCAACACACACACAAACACATTGATTCTGATCCATACAGTAGGGATTTTGCTATCACAGCAAACATCAACACACACACAAACACATTGATTCTGATCCAGACAGTAGGGATTTTGCTATCACAGCAAACATCAACACATACACAAACACATTGATTCTGATTCATACAGTAGGGATTTTGCTATCACAGCAGACATAAATTAATTCTTTGGGCTTCCACAAATGTTCCAGTATTGAAAGTTTCTCTTCCCTTTTGTATTTTCAATATGATCTCTCTCTGTTCATTCATTCTGGCCTAAATGCATATACCTTCTTTAATATATGCACCTTTCCGCCCAACTGATCGGATTTCTACACACTTCTAATCAGTTGCCTTTTACAAGACACGTGTTGGGAGAGGGGGAGGGGGGTCTTTCCACTGAATCCAAACCTAGACAACACGTGAATGACTGCTCCGCTTGAGGTGTCAGATGCTAGACTTACTTTGACATTATTGTTTCTTTCTGTGAGAATTAGCAAAGTGTTTCACACGGTGGATGGCTGATCACATAAACTAATCCCCCAGGTCTCTGTCTGCGTCAGTGGAGATCAGTTAGTTATTTAGGAAACCATACAGGAACACTTTCAAGTGAATGTGTATGAAACCATACAGAAACACTTTCAAGTGGATGTGTATGAAACCATACAGGAACACTTTCAAGTGGATGTGTATCAAACCATACAGGTACACTTTCAAGTTGATGTGTACTGAACCGTACAGCCTGACTCTAGTACCACAGCCTGACTCTAGTACCACAGCCTGACTCTAGTACCACAGCCTGACTCTAGTACCATAGCCTGACTCTAGTATCACTGCCTGACTCTAGTACCACAGCCTGACTCTAGTACCACAGCCTGACTCTAGTACCATAGCCTGACTCTAGTACCACAGCCTGACTCTAGTACCACAGCCTGACTCTAGTACCACAGCCTGACTCTAGTACCATAGCCTGACTCTAGTACCAATGCCTGACTCTAGTACCAATGCCTGACACTAGTACCAATGCCTGACTCTAGTACCAATGCCTGACTCTAGTACCAATGCCTGACTCTAGTACCATAGATTGACTCTAGTACCATAGATTGACTCTAGTACCATAGGTTGACTCTAGTACCATAGATTGACTCTAGTACCATAGATTGACTCTAGTACCATAGATTGACTCTAGTACCATAGCTTGACTCTAGTACCACAGCCCGACTCTAGTAACATGGCCCGACTCTACAGCCACTGCTCAAAAGCTATTAGAATGATCCAGTTAATCCCCACCCCCCTTCCCCAAACAAACTAAATGCTGCGAATACTAAACCTTAATATATCAAGAATCAGGAAAGTGTGAAACATATTCACTAATGTCTAGCACCAGCCACACAAAAAATTATCGCCAAAGACCTCATTTAATGGGGCTGAGTATTTTTAGTTTAGCAGATGAGAACTAAACACAGGGCTCAGTAGAGGGGAAGAGGAGGACAAGAGGTAGACCAAGAAAGACTTGGATACAGAACTAAACAACACCACAGGGCTCAGTAGAGGGGAAGAGAAGGGCAACAGGCAGACCAAGAAAGACTTGGATACAGAACTTAACAACACCACAGGGCTCAGCAGAGGGGAAGAAGAGAAGAGGCAGACCAAGAAAGACCTGGATACAGAACTTGACTGACTGGACAGGCTTTAGACACACAACCATGAAGACCACTGCATCTAACCGTCTAAGGTGGAGGGAGCTAATGTGACAGTCAACAGAAACTGGTGACCCAAAGACACGCAGTGTTATGGGACGAAGATGATACCAGAAAACTGAATCACAACACAAAAATGATCATCTCAGATTCTGGCCCTTGCCTGCTGTGTGCTGAAATACAAGAATTTGGTATATGAAGGTGGTCATAATGAAACCTCTTCTGTAAGATAACCAGACAACTCACCTCATCCGAGTAATGCTTGAAGTTATTGACTCTGTGATCAACCTCTTCTGGAGCAAAAGGTAGCAGTTTGATTCCTTTCATCAACTGAAATAATAATTTCATTGATAGTTACTAACATATCTTCTGTTTTAAACAACAGATGCAATATAAACAGACAAGTTTCATATGTTAGTGAAAATACATGATGCTCATTAAAGATTAGTAGAAAGACATCAAATCAAATGAAAAGCTGAGCTAGTCAGCTCCAAAAACACAAATGAACAGTAAATGTTTCAGCTTGAAAGCCTTCTTCAGCTTATTATATGAATAAGTAACAGCACAAATATAAATCCACACTTGTGTCAGGCCAGTTGAATCTCTGACGTGTGTGAACACCGAAAATGAATTCTAGCTATACAACAACCACATACTTTTCTACACTGATACAACAACCACATACTTTTCTCCACTGATACAACAACCACATACTTTTCTCCACTGATAAAACAACCACACACTTTTCTACACTGATACAACAACCACATACTTTTCTTCACTGATACAACAACCACACACTTTTCTCCACTGATACAACAACCACACACTTTTCTCCACTGATACAACAACCACACACTTTTCTCCACTGATACAACAACCACACACTTTTCTCCACTGATACAACAACCACACACTTTTCTCCACTGATACAACAACCACATACTTTTCTCCACTGATACAACAACCACACACTTTTCTCCCCTGATACAACAACCACACACTTTTCTCCACTGATACAACAACCACACACTTTTCTCCACTGATACAACATCCACATACTTTTCTCCACTGATACAACATCCACATACTTTTCTCCACTGATACAACAACCACACACTTTTCTTCACTGATACAACATCCACATACTTTTTTCCACTGATACAACAACCACACACTTTTCTCCACTGATAAAACATCCACATACTTTTCTCCACTGATACAACAACCACACACTTTTCTCCACTGATACAACAACCACTCTCACACACCCTTACCTCCACTGATACAACAACCACACACTTTTCTCCACTGATACAACAACCACTCTCACACACCCTTACCACCACTAATACAACAACCACTTTCACACACCCTTACCTCCACTAATACAACAACCACTCTCACACACCCTTACTTCCACTGATACCACAACCACTCTCACACACCCTTACCTCCACTGATACAACAACCACTCTCACACATCCTTACCTCCACTGATACAACAACCACTTTCACACACCCTTACCTCCACTAATACAACAACCACTCTCACACACCCTTACCTCCACTGATACAACAACCACTCTCACACACCCTTACCTCCACTGATACAACAACCACTCTCACACACCCTTACCTCCACTGATACAACAATCACTCTCACACACCCTTACCTCCACTGATACAACAACCACTTTCACACATCCTTACCTCCACTGATACAACAACCACTCTCACACACCCTTACCTCCACTGATACAACAACCACTTTCACACACCCTTACCTCCACTGATACAACAACCGCTCTCACACACCCTTACCACCACTGATACAACAACCACTCTCACACACCCTTACCTCCACTGATACAACAACCACTCTCACACACCATTACTTCCACTGATACAACAACCACTTTCACACACCCCTACTTCCACTGATACAACAACCACTCTCACACACCCTTACCTCCACTGATACAACAACCACTTTCACACACCCTTACCTCCACTGATACTACAACCACTTTCACACATCCTTACCTCCACTAATCCAACAACCACTCTCACACACCCTTACCTCCACTGATACAACAACCACTCTCACACATCCTTACCTCCACTGATACAACAACCACTCTCACACATCCTTACCTCCACTGATACAACAACCACTTTCACACACCCCTACTTCCACTGATACAACAACCACTCTCACACACCCTTACCTCCACTGATACAACAACCACTTTCACACACCCCTACTTCCACTGATACAACAACCACTTTCACACACCCTTACTTCCACTGATACAACAACCACTTTCACACACCCTTACCTCCACTGATACAACAACCACTCTCACACATCCTTACCTCCACTGATACAACAACCACTTTCACACACCCCTACTTCCACTGATACAACAACCACTCTCACACATCCTTACCTCCACTGATACAACAACCACTTTCACACACCCTTACCTCCACTGATACAACAACCACTCTCACACTCCCTTACCTCCACTGATACAACAACCACTCTCACACACCCTTACCTCCACTGATACAACAACCACTTTCACAAACCCTTACCTCCATTGATACCACAACCACTCTCACACACCCTTACCTCCACTGATACTAAAACCACTCTCACACACCCTTACCTCCACTGATACAACAACCACTCTCACACACCCTTACCTCCACTGATACTACAACCACTCTCACACACCCTTACCTCCACTGATACAACAACCACTCTCACACACCCTTACCTCCACTGATACAACAACCACTCTCTCACACACCCTTACCTCCACTAATACTACAACCGCTCTCACACACCCTTACCTCCACTGATACAACAACCACTCTCACACACCCTTACCTCCACTGATACTACAAGCACTCTCACACACCCTTACCTCCACTGATACAACAACCACTCTCACACACCCTTACCTCCACTGATACAACAACCACTCTCACACACCCTTACCTCCACTGATACAACAACCACTCTCACACATCCTTACCTCCACTGATACAACAACCACTCTCACACACCCTTACCTCCACTGATACAACAACCACTCTCACACACCCTTACCTCCACTGATACTACAACCACTTTCACACACCTTTACCTCCACTGATACCACAACCACTCTCACACATCCTTACCTCCACTGATACAACAACCACTTTCACACATCCTTACCTCCACTGATACCACAACCACTTTCTCACACCCTTACCTCCACTGATACAACAACCACTTTCACACATCCTTACCTCCACTGATACCACAACCACTTTCACACACCCTTACCTCCACTAATACTACATCCACTCTCACACATCCTTACCTCCACTGATACAACAACCGCTCTCACACACCCTTACTTCCACTGATACAACAACCACTCTCACACACCATTACCTACACTAATACAACAACCACTCTCACACACCCTTATCTCCACTAATACAACAACCACTCTCACACACCCTTACCTCCACTGATACAACAACCACTCTCACACATCCTTACCTCCACTAATACAACAACCACTCTCACACACCCTTACCTCCACTGATACAACAACCACTCTCACACATCCTTACCTCCACTAATACAACAACCACTCTCACACACCCTTACTTCCACTGATACAACAACCACTCTCACACACCTTTACCTCTACTGATACAACAACCACTCTCACACACCCTTACTTCCACTGATACAACAACCACTCTCACACACCCTTACTTCCACTGATACAACAACCACTCTCACACACCCTTACCTCCACTGATACCACAACCACTCTCTCACACCCTTACCTCCACTGATACCACAACCACTCTCTCACACCCTTACCTCCACTGATACAACAACCACTCTCTCACATCCTTACCTCCATTGATACAACAACCACTCTCTCACATCCTTACCTCCATTGATACAACAACCACTCTCACACACCCTTACCTCCACTGATACAACAACCACTCTCTCACACCCCTACTTCCACTGATACCACAACCACTCTCACACACCCCTACTTCCACTGATACCACAACCACTCTCTCACATCCTTACCTCCACTGATACCACAACCACTCTCACACACCCCTACTTCCACTGATACCACAACCACTCTCACACTCCCTTACCTCCACTGATACAACAACCACTCTCACACTCCCTTACCTCCACTGATACAACAACCACTCTCACACACCATTACCTCCACTGATACAACAACCACTCTCACACACCATTACCTCCACTGATACAACAACCACTCTCACACACCATTACTTCCACTGATACAACAACCACTCTCACACATCCTTACTTCCACTGATACAACAACCACTCTCACACATCCTTACCTCCACTGATAAAACAACCACTCTCACACATCCTTACCTCCACTGATACAACAACCACTCTCACACACCATTACCTCCACTGATACAACAACCACTCTCACACATCCTTACCTCCACTGATACAACAACCACTCTCACACACCCTTACCTCCACTGATACAACAACCACTCTCACACACCCTTACCTCCACTGATACAACAACCACTCTCACACACACTTACCTCCACTGATACAACTACCACTTTCACACACCCCTTACCTCCACTGATACCACAACCACTCTCTCACACCCTTACCTCCACTGATACTAAAACCACTCTCTCACACCCTTACCTCCACTGATACTAAAACCACTCTCACACACGATTACCTCCACTGATACAACAACCACTCTCACACACACTTACCTCTATTGATACAACTACCACACACACAAATCTCATACATCCTTACCTCCAAAGCTTCATCGACGGCACCCTGGTGACACAGGTCGAAAAATGTGATGAGGTCCAGCAGAAGGTAAAATGTTTTAGTGGTCATTGGTGAGGCTTCATGGCCTAGAGTGCTGTACCTGTGGACACACAATCAGGTTAGCTTACCAGATAACTACTCTAGTGTAGCACTGAAACATGACACAATGTTACAGTCACAATCTCACATCATCTTCAATTATAAATATTTGCCACAAATCTAGAGCCCCATGTGCCCACTGACAGACATATATAAGCTGAAGACTGCCACCAAGTCACTTCAAAGATGCGCTATCGGTGATGCAAACCTGTTTGATATTAGCTAAATCATCTCTGATTGCCACCGTCATCTACAAAGATGCGCTTTTGGTGATGCAAGCCTGTTTGATATAAGCTGAATCACCTCTGACTGCCACTAAGTCATCTTCACAGATGCGCTAATGGTGATGCATGCTCTCTCAAGAGTGGTACACTCCCTCACCTGAGATCTGAACTTAGCAAGGTGACTGCCCAAAAGCGTACCATACTCCTGTGGGCACCATCCCACTGAGGTATGCAAGGAAATAAAACCACGGATAAACTCGCTATGAAAGAGGCAGAATGTGAACAGGAAAAATGCAGTAACATACTTGGAGGGAAAAAAAGGTCATGCACTCTATCAGAAGAGAGCAGAATCTGGCCATAGATGACTACTACCTACTTGACCGGCATGGGCAGGTCATCATTCTACACCTCAGGACAGACCATAACAAACTTAACAAGCATATATACAGGCTTCATCTAAGTATGTCACCAGTGTGCCCGTGTGGGCTGTGTGTGAAAACTGCAGAACATGTCCTGTAAGAATGACTCCTGTACAGCCCATTATTGATCCAGCGGCGCATGAGCTTTCACCCTTTGGCCCAATGCCATGTAGTGGAATTTGCATGCTTTCACAAGCTGTTCTTTATACAGCCCATTAAGAAGGGAATACTGGCTCGATGAGTCAGGATCATACTCAAAGAAGTTGTAAGGAACTAAAAAGCAACCCCAAAAAACAGCCAATTTTATCACAAGAACTCACCTGTCGGGGCAAACTGGAAAGTGATGGAAAGAAGAAGTAATTTCAGTTGGAAGAATGAAGATCACATCAATATGAAAAAGAGGTAGTCATCCTCTTTGGGTGCATCAGGAAAGAGAAAAACTGGAATATTTGACAACTGGACAGATGAATTGAAAGAGAGACTGGGGAAGTCAGCAAGAGAAGATTGTGACAGCCTTTTGTCATGGCATGGAGAGGTAACCGGATATGAACTGATACATACTGTTTGACACAGATGACATACTGTTTGACACAGATGTTCCTATATCCCCCATATGCCAGGATGGTAAGTAAACTGATACATACTGTTTGACACAGCTGTTGCTATATCCCCCATATACCAAGATGGTATGAAAACAAGAACATTTACCATTTTACTTGGGTATAGGAGAGAGAAGAAAGCCGACAAGTGACATTTTTTAACACGTGCTAAACATGTAATGACATCAACCGGAATCTTGTTAAAAAACATGAAAAAAATCTAATAAATGCAATAAACAACTTCACGGACATCTAGAGAAAGTTTACCTTTCTGCCATATTAATAGCCAAACTGGCAAGGCGGTTCCGTGTGGACTGAGGTGATGGTGGACTGGCAACAACCTGGCTCAGCAACTTATTGATCAGGCTCAGGGCCTTCTCATGGTTCTGTGAACAGACATAAAATCCTCTGTAGAGTTCTTCATAACTATTTCATATGTCTGTTACGTGACAACCACATATTTACTGTTGCCTCATAAATCTGGCCACGCCTGTACACTGAGGCAGGATTCACTCGACCAGACCCTGCTTACCAAAACAGGACAGTCACACAGTGGAACATGAAACTAGCCAGATTATTGTTTTATCTGTAAATCCTGGGTGATCTACATGAGCATTTGTTGGTTAACCCGAGTCTTCCTAATGCCACCTGGCTAAACTTTGCTATTTGTGTCTGTGAAAGACATACACAAGAGTATCTGGCCAAGATGGTGGCATAAACAATGTTCGTCACAAAATGTGATAAAAAGATGTGTTTATTCCTGGAAAGTGTGTTCATTAAATTAATTTAGTGTAGGTGTTCAGCTGAAGATCAATTCGTGACTGGCCCGGCAATTCGGCGGAGGATCCAGGGTTCAAACAAAAATGTCAAAGATTAAAATTTGAGATGTTTTAGAAATTGGGAAAATAGAGGTCAGCAGAAGGTTAAGACCAGGGTAGGGACAATTTATATATGTGGATGGGGCAATACAGCAGAACAAGTGATAGAATAATATATAATGTTAAAGTATTGGGATTATCATGAGTGAGAATGAAAGGACGAGGAATGAAGAAACTACATAAAAATTACGTTTTGATTCAATAGGGATTAGAGGAAATGCAACATACACATTATGAAGTAGGATTTATCAACGATCCCAAAACTGCAAAAAATATACTAGAGGTTAACTACATCTTGGAAAGAATTATCAGCTTGAAATGACAAGCAATAGTCTGAGTTCAGTATGCTCCATACAATGATTACAGTAAGGAGGATTTAGATCCATTCTTTGAGGAACTGAATGATGGAATCTGTAAGATAGATACTACTGAGAAGGTAATCGTGATGGGCGATTTTAATGGTAAGACAGGATGAGACAAAAGAGAATTAACAAGATATCTAGGCAATTATGGAGACAACAGCATTATAAATGAAAATGATCAAAGACTGTTACACATATGTGCACAGCATGACCTTGTTATTACTAGCACCTTCTTTCAACATAGAGCTTCACAAGTTTTTACATGGAATGATCCAGATACTGAGAGTCAGAATGATCACAGCTTGACTTTCATGAAGTTACAGATTCTACAGTTAAACCAAACTTGAGTTCAGATACAGATCATAGGATGGTGATACTTGATAGAAAAGTTCAGATAAGTTATCAAACAAGAAAGAAATGTCATATAAGTGACATAATGAAATGAAAAGGACTAGAGCGTGAGGAAAATGAGCGAGCATTTCAGCAAAAATTATAGGAAAATTACGAACATCTTCTACCACAAACACTTGGGCTAAATAAAGAATGGAGAAATTTCAGGGACACCACTATAAACATAGCACAAGAAATAAGGAGAACTAAAAGGAAAGGTAACATAGGGTGTAAGCTCTCTTCATGGTGGTCTGAAGAAATAAGAAGAAAGTGCACAATACAAAGAAAACCTATGGCATTTGGCTGAACAGAAGAGGCTTACATAACATACAGGATAATTAGAAGAGAAGTAAACAGAACTATCAGTCAAGCAAAAAGAGATTCATGAGAAAAGTTTGGAAGCAAGCTGGCTGAAGAAAAAAGAACAGCAGTGAAAAAATACTGCAAGAGAAATCAAAGGTATAAGAAATAGGAACGAAGAATACAAGCCAACAGAAATGATAAATGATGAAGAAGGACAACCTTTAATAGAACCTAATAACATTTTAGCAAGATACTGTGTATCATTACTTAGCTGCAATAAAACAGATGAAAGCAGGAAAGAACATAAAAACAACTCGTAAATAACGGCATAGGAATCAGAACCTGGTATATTATTAGATGGTATATTCGTCATTTATACCACCCCTAGACTAAAGGCGACAAGTATTGATGATCTACCATCTGAGGCCATCAAGGCAGCAGGAGGAGTGGGAGCTAAATGGTTGAAGAGAATAGTTCAGGTGGCATGGGAAAATCAAGAAACATCATCAGATTGGCAAACTGATGTCACAGTCCTGCTATGGGGGAAAAAAAAAGAAGTAAGAGGGACTGTACTAATTACAGAGGTATATCACTTCTCAGTCACACTGGGAAAATGTATGCTAAGATCATCGAAAAAAGGCTAAGACCATTGAAAGAGTATCAACTTTCAGAAGCACAGATGGGCTTTCGACGAAACAGAAGTTGCACAGATGCCATTTATACATTGAGACAACTATCAGAGAGAGCAATAGAACCTGATAAATTTGTTGACATTCATAGACCAGAAAAAAGCCTTTAATAGAGCCGACAGGAATATGTTGTGGAAATGTATAAAGGAAAAAGAGAATCAGCAATCAACTCATTAATATTTGCAAAAGCCCGTACACACGTAGAAAATGCTGCATGAGATCGAGGGCAGGGTTGTCAAGAACTTTTATAGTGAACTCAGGGCTGTGTACTATCGCCACTTCTTTTTATCACATACATGGATACTGTATGTAAGGAAACGAACTTTAATCATAAAGAAGATATTACAGAATTACTATTCGCCGACGACCAGGTGCTCAGCAGAAAGCCTACGGAACTACCTAAATCAAATTATTAACAAAGAGGAGGAATATAATATGAGAATAATCACTAAGAGGACAGGGATAATGGTGACAGGAAGACAGACAGACAATTCAAAAATAAAATAAAAAAACAACGCCTCAAGACACAGAGGAATTCAAGTATTAGGGAGCAATTTTCGCATCAGATGTGAAACTATCTCCCCTGCTGACTCACAAGCAGATACCTCGGAGTACTAAAGTGAATTTTATCAGAACTATTTTTTGGCCAACACTATGCTATCAGTGACAAACGTGGACACTTACATCTTCTAATGAATGTAAAACTGTGACAACAGAGAAGAAATACCTTAGAAGAGCTGCAGGAGCACCAAGGAAAGACAGAATAGGAAATCACAAAATCAGACGAATGCTAGGAATAAAGCAAATCTTACAGGTCATCATAGAACAACAAATTAAGTGGTTTGGACACCCAACAAGAATGCCCCCCCCCCCCCCCGACACTTTGCTGAGGTACAAGGTGGGAGAGAAGAAGAACAACAACAACAACATTCACAGGCAGACACTCCTGATGATAGACTCTGTCCAGCTATAATCACCAGTCAAATAGCCCAAAACATTACCAATCAATGATAAATACCACAAGACATTACCAATCAATGATAAATCAAATCGCCCACAAGACATTACCAATCAATGATAAATCACACAAGACATTACCACTCCATGATAAATCACACAAGACATTACCAATCAATGAAAAATCACACAAGACATTACCAATCAATGATAAATCACACAAGACATTACCAATCAATGAAAAATCACATAAGACATTACCAATCAATGATAAATCACACAAGACATTACCAATCAAAGATAGATCACACAAGACATTACCAATCAATGATAAATCACACAAGACATTACCAATCAATGATAAATCACACAAGACATTACCAATCAAAGATAAATCACACAAGACATTACCAATCTATGATAAATCACACAAGACATTACCTGTGATAAATCATACAGCATGACTGCATCCTCAAACATGCCCTTGGCTTCAGTATCGCTGGCTACCATCTCTGTGATCTTCTGTGTGTCCTGATGGAACCAGTCGATTGCCCCTGGCTAGACACAACACCACAGTTATATTACACCAAGCTGGATTAGGATTATGAGTATACTAGTCTATCTCTGGCACCTACACAGAATAAAGGGTATTCTATCTCTGGCATCTACACAGAAAAAAGGGTATTCTATATCTGCTACCTACACAGAATTAAGGGTATTATAATCTCTGCTACCTACACAGAATTAAGGGTATTCTATCTCTGCTACGTACACAGAATTAAGGGTATTCTATCTCTGGCATCTACACAGAATAACGGGTATTCTATATCTGCTACCTACACAGAATTAAGGGTATTCTACCTCTGCTATCTACACAGAATAAAGGGTATTCTATCTCTGCTACCTAGACTGAATTAAGGGTATTCTATCTCTACTACCTACATAGAATAATAGGTAATCTATCTCTGCTACCTAGATAGAATAATGGGTATTCAATCTCTGCTACCTACACACAGAATAATTGGTATTCTATCTCTGCTACCTAGCTAGAATAATGAGTATTCTATATCTGCTAACTTAACAGAATTAGGGGAATTCTATCTCTGCTACCTAGACTAAATAAAGGGTATCCTTTCTCTGCTACCTACACAGAATAAAGGTATTCTATATCTGCTACCTATACAGAATAAAGGTATTCTATCTCTGCTACCTATACAGAATAATGGGTATTCTATATCAGCTACCTAAACAGAATTAGGGGAATTCTATCTCTGCTACCTAGACTAAATAAAGGGTATGCTTTCTCTGCTACCTATACAGAATAAAGGTATTCTATCTCTGCTACCTAGACTGAATTAGGGTATTCTATCTCTGATATCTAGATGGAATTAAGGGTATTCTATCTCTGATACCTAGACTGAATTAAAGGTATTCTATCTCTGATACCTAGACAGAATTAAGGGTATTATATCTCAGCTACCGGTTTGTGTCAAGATGGCGGGACGTGTTTCTCTCTAGCTCGGCGCATATCGGTTGATCGACGGTCCTACAAGCTGTCATCGCAAAACCACCAATTGTTATAGAATCAGATTTCTGACTCTAACTGCACGATGATTCGTTCTCGACCTCGCCTCCGATGCTGAAACAGCTGCCAAGATTGGAAACAACAAAGCCGTATTCCATATTATGAAACAACTGTGCAATCACTCACCTACACTAAATACACCCATTAAAGACAAGCAGGGTAAACTACTGCTATCCGACGACCAACAAACAAAGCGATGGGCAGAACATTTCAAGGAAATATTAAATAGGCCAAATCCTGACATCATTCCCAATTTAGAAGAAGAAATTATTACACCAACACTAATTGCCTCCAGCGAGTCATTCACAATAGAGGAGATTAAAACAGCTATTAAAAAATTAAGAATAAACAAAGCTACCGGAGAGGACAACATCTCAGGGGAAATGCTCAAAGCAGCGGATGAAAACACCCTGCAACATTTGCTCCAGCTGATGGATGAAGTCTGGCAAAACGAATACCCACCACAACAATGGAAAGATGGTGTAATCTTCAAATTACCTAAAAAAGGTGATTTATCCGATTGTAACAACTGGAGAGGCATCACCCTGCTTTCGATACCAGGGAAACTATTTTGTAGTATGCTACTAGAAAGATTTAAAAAATCCATAGATGAAAGATTAAGGGAAGAACAAGCCGGTTTTAGATCCAAGCGGTCATGCATAGACCACATCTTTACTCTTAGAATAATTGTTGAAGATTCTACAGAATTCCAGTCGAAATTATTGATCAACTTTGTCGACTTTCAAAAAGCCTTCGACAGTATCCATCGTCCAACACTCTGGAAATTGCTTAACATCTATGGTTTCCCCATCAAATATATCAACATCATAAAATCTTTTTATAATGAAACACGATGCTGTGTAAGAACTGATTCCGGCAATTCTGACTGGTTCCCGGTGGAAACAGGAGTGAAGCAAGGCTGTGTCCTATCGCCGATGCTTTTTGGTATAGCAATCGACTGGGTCATGCGCAAGTGCATAAATAACGCAAATTTGGGCATTACATGGGTTGACAAAATTCTGGAAGACCTAGACTTCGCCGACGACATAGCATTCCTGAGTTCAGAGTTCAGAACACACAGACGCCCAAGAAAAAATCAATCGACTCCAGAATTTCTCAGAACAAATTGGACTCCAAATTAACACCGCAAAAACAAAAATTCTAGACCTTACCAACAGTTCAGTTGATATCACGCTGAACAACAACAGCCTTGAAAAAGTCAACAGTTTCACTTATCTAGGGAGCAAGATGTCATCTACAGGAGATACCGCACCAGAAATATCATTTAGAATAGCACTGGCATCTAGTGCCTTCAATAAACTGTCTAACATCTGGAAATCAAAGACACTTAGCAAACACACAAAACTCAAGATCTTCAATTCTTGTGTGATTCCAGTACTAACCTATGGATGCGAGAGCTGGAAATCAACGAAAACTCTAGACACAAAATTAGACAGTTTTGAAAATAAATGCCTTAGAAGAATACTAAATTTCAAATGGTCAGATTTCCGAACCAATACACAAATAAGGCAAGAATCCAGGCAAGAGTATGTGTATACTTTTATACGAAAACGCCGCTGGAACTATGTCGGCCACGCCCTTAGAATGGATAAATCAAGACTTCCTTACCAAGCCCTCATTTGGACACCACAGGGGAAAAGATCTCGTGGAAGACCAAGGGAAACCCTACGTAGAACTATCATCAGGGAAGGCTCGCTCATGGGCCACTCAAACATCCAAGACCTACAACGGATTGCAACGGACCGCCGTGCATGGAGAGTCACGACCTCTGCCCTATGTGCCGCACTCGGCACAAGAGGAAAGACTAACTAACTAACTAACTTAGACTGAATTAGGGGTATTCTGTCCCAGCTACCCAGAAATAATCCATGTTATATTACATCAGTCGAAATGTTTGTTTAGTCTAATGGGGTAATTTTGGGGGACACAGAATCAAGGTTACAGTTTCTATCTGGCTGCACACAGAATTAAGGAGACAACAAAAAACAAAAAACATGTAAGAACTTATCAGCTGAACCATTCATGGGTATCGAGGTGGCAATAGAATCAGTTCTAAGACCATGCTATGGCTTTTTGGTAGACACAAGAATTATAAGACCATGAACCATTTTATGGGTTTCCAGCCGACAGCAGAATAATTTCACAGGAACTGTCCTAAAAGTTTCTGGCTGACAATGCAGTGTAACATAATTCACGAGTCTGGTGTAACATAATTCACGAGTCTGGTGTAACATAATTCACGAGTCTGGTGCAACTGGTGTGCACAAGAATCAAGCAACACGAATCCACTTGTCTGGTTACATCCTCCAGTTGACAACATTAACCAGTCATTTCCCAGGTTAACAACAAATTTTCTGCTGGTCAACTTCCTATGTTCATTGTCATAGGCACCACAATCTGGAGGCTCAGATACTCCTAGGGGCAGATCCCCCTCTCTCCCCCCCCCCCCCCATAAAAAGAAAATGTGCAAGGAGGCCAAGTGGTTTCCCTAGTCATGTACAGATGTTACCCTAGTCATGTACAGATGTCCCCATGTTCAGTTTCTGTTTATGTCTTTCATATTATTTCAAATGTAGTTTTATATTTTTTTTGCCATTCAACACACAATTATTATTATTAGTGCACAGTTAAACAAGGCGTAAACCCCTTGAACCTTGCCACTAGACAATTCTAAAGGGGCTTAGCATCCATCACCACTCTCCCAAACAAAGAATGATGGCTGGCTGGCACGGTTGTTTTACAGGGACACTCTCCCCAACAAAGAATGATGGCTGGCTGGCACGGCTGTTTTACAGGGACACTCTCTCCAACAAAGAACGATGGCTGGTTGGTGCAGCTGTTCTACAAGGACACACTCTCCAACAAAGAACGATGGCTTGTTGGTGCAGCTGTTTTACAGGGACACTCTCTCCAACAAAGAACGATGGCTGGTTGGTGCAGCTGTTCTATAGGGACACACTCTCCAACAAAGAACGATGGCTTGTTGGTGCAGCTGTTCTACAGGGACATTCTCTCCAACAAAGAACGATGGCTGGTTGGTGCAGCTGTTCTAAAGGGACACTCTCTCCAACAAAGAACAATGGCTGGTTGGTGCAGCTGTTCTACAAGGACACTCTCTCCAACAAAGAACGATGGCTGGTTGGTGCAGCTGTTCTATAGGGACACACTCTCCAACAAAGAACGATGGCTGGTTGGTGCAGCTGTTCTACAGGGACACTCTCTCCAACAAAGAACGATGGCTGGTTGGTGCAGCTGTTCTATAGGGACACCCTCTCCAACAAATGATGGCTGGTTGGTGCAGCTGTTCTATAGGGACACTCTCTCCAACAAAGAATGATGGCTGGTTGGTGCAGCTGTTCTATAGGGACAGCCAGTCTCACAATTTGTGTGTGTCTAACACAGGTAACTAGCCTTTACTCAGTGTAAACAATATCAGTCAGATACAACAGCAGGCACATGAGCAAGCAGATAAAATATAAGAAAAGTACTGTTCAACCAGACAAGCACATAACTATGACTGCAGACATACACTGGATTCAAGAGTCACACAACCATTTGGAATGATATGATCAAGTAGCTTCACAGCATGGGTGGCAACATTTGATGATGATATGAGAGCTACAAACATCCACTTCCTGCATGTCTTACCTTTCTAGATCCATCTTTTTCTAGTCGTCCCAGCAGCATGTCAAACTACAGAGGAAAACAGAGATCAGTCAATACACCCAGTCGGTGTCTATCATGTCATAAACAGCTTTATACAAATTAATACTATCTCAACAGAAACTGAAAATAACAAATCTTGTTATATTATGTTCACTTATGCCGGGGCTTTGAAACAAAGCCGTTATATTCTGCTCACGTCTGACAGGGCTGTGAAACAAAGCTGTTATATTCTGCTCACGTCTGCCGGGGCTGTGAAACAAAGCTGTTATATTCTGCTCATGTCTGACAGGGCTGTGAAACAAAGCTGTTATATTCTGCTCACGTCTGATGGGGCTGTGAAACAAAGCTGTTATATTTTGCTCACGTCTGATGGGACTGTGAAACAAAGCTGTTATATCCTGCTCACGTCTATTGAGGCTGTGAAACAAAGCTGTTATATTCTGCTCACGTCTGACAGGGCTGTGAAACAAAGCTGTTATATTCTGCTCACGTCTGATGGGGCTATGAAACAAAGCTGTTATATTCTGCTCACGTCTACTGAGGCTGTGAAACAAAGCTGTTATATTCTGCTCACGTCTGACAGGGCTGTGAAACAAAGCTGTTATATTCTGCTCACGTCTGATGGGGCTGTAACAAATCAACACTGTACCTTGTCCACTGTGTATTGGATGAGCCCATATTAGTATCAACCAATCAGTGGAGGTCAATATCATGTTGGATGCCCTTACTTCAAACAATATCTCCTGGGATCCATATTAGCTAGATCGAAATTAGACTCATATTAGCTAGATCGACCTGGGACCCATATTAGCTAGAACGATCTGAGACCCATATTAGCTATTAGCTAGATCTGAGACCCATATTAGCTGCCTCGACCTGAGACCCATATTAGCTAGAATGACCTGAGACCCATATTAGCTAGAATGACCTGAGACCCATATTAGCTGCCTCGACCTGAGATCCATATTAGCTATTAGCTAGATCTGAGACCCATATTAGCTAGAATGACCTGAGACCCATATTAGCTGCCTCGACCTGGGACCCATATTAGCTGCATCGACCTGGGACCCATATTAGCTAGAATGACCTGAGACCCATATTAGCTGCATCGACCTGGGACCCATATTAGCTAGATCGACCTGGGACCCATATTAGCTAGAACGATCTGAGACCCATATTAGCTATTAGCTAGATCTGAGACCCATATTAGCTAGATCGACCTGAGACCCATATTAGCTAGATCTAACTGAGACCCATAATAGCTGCATCAACCTAGGACCCATATTAGCTGCATCGACCTGGGACCCACATTAGCTGGATTGACTTCAAGCTATATTAGTTGGATCCATCTAGAACCCATTTTTGTTGGATCAACTTGGGACCCAAATCACTTTACAATAAAAGCCCTTCCTCAAGGGGAGAAAACCATGACCAACAGGCAAGTGTGTCAAACACTCAACAAGCACGGTTGACCATTCCTGTTAAATTTTTCTTCTTCTACCTCAAGCTGTAGAAGCACTATACAATCAAGGGTTACCCTCAGTTGCAGAGGCAGTTACCCCCGGCTGTAGAGGCAGCTACCCTCAGTTGTAGAGGCAGTTACCCCCGGCTGTAGAGGCAGTTACCCTCGGCTGTAGAGGCAGTTACCCTCGGCTGTAGAGGCAGTTATCCTCGGTTGTAGAAGCAGTTACTTTTGACTGTAGAGGTAGTTACCCTCAGCTGTAGAGGCAGTTACTCTCGGCTGTAGAGGTAGAGACAGTTACCCTTTGCTGTAGAGGCAGTTACCCTCTGCTGTAGAGGCAGTTACCCTCAGTTGTAGAAGCAGTTACCCTTGGCTGTAGAGGCAGTTACCCTCAGCTGTAGAGGCAGAGGCAGTTACCCTCGATTGAAGAAGCAGTTACCCTCGGTTGTAGAGGCAGTTACCCTCAGCTGTAAAGGCAGTTACCCTCAGTTGCAGAGGCACCTTACAAAAATAAATAATCTCTTTTTCTACCTTGGCAGACTTTCAAAGTTAAGACATTTCCTCTTCCTTGCTGGGGAGTTGAGGTAGTTGTCTTGTGTGTTTCAGAGAACATTATTAATACAGCTACTCACATGGTCAAAGGTCAAGGGTCAGAGAAGACAAACCTGAAAACATGTCAGTGGAAGACACATGTACTGGGTGTCGGTGGAAGACACATGTACTGGATGTCAGTGGAAGTCACATGTACTGGGTGTCGGTGGAAGATACATGTACTGGGTGTCGGTGGAGAAGATACATGTACTGGCTGTCGGTGGAAGATACATGTACTGGGTGTCGGTTGAAGTCACATGTACTTGATGTCGGTGGAAGACACATGTACTGGGTGTTGGTGGAAGACACATGTACTGGATGTCAGTGGAAGACACATGTACTGGGTGTCGGTGGAAGACACATGTACTGGGTGTCGGTGGAAGATACATGTACTGGGTGTCGGTGGAAGACACATGTACTGGGTGTCGGTGGAAGATACATGTACTGGGTGTCGGTGGAAGACACATGTACTGGGTGTCAGCACAAAGGAAACCTGAGATGTAGACTGCTTTATGGCTACATCCGAACAATGGCACAATCACCACCCTGATGAGCTAAACCCCGACCTAATGACATATCTCAGAGGTTTAACCCTTAGCCCTCAGAACCTCCATGTATAGATATAATTGCCCTTATTGCTGTAGAAAAGTATCTTTAAGTTTTGAATGATCTACATGCCTGACCCTTGAAGACCTCTTTGAATAAACACACCTTGTCAAACTTCCCAGGTTTTTAAAAAAAAACCAGCAATAGAGCACCAATGATAATCCTGACAACATGGGCTACCGTATATACACACACACACATAGACAGGGGACATACCTCTCTAGTCTCTAGAACCAGCTCACTGACACACACAGACAGGGGACATACCTCTCTAGTCTCTAGAACCAGCTCACTGACACACACAGACAGGGGACATACCTCTCTAGTCTCTAGAACCAGCTCACTGACACACACAGACAGGGGACATACCTCTCTAGTCTCTAGAACCAGCTCACTGACACACACAGACAGGGGACATACCTCTCTAGTCTCTAGAACCAGCTCACTGACACACACAGACAGGGGACATACCTCTCTAGTCTCTAGAACCAGCTCACTGACACACACAGACAGGGGACAAACCTCTCTAGTCTCTAGAACCAGCTCACTGACACACACAGACAGGGGACAAACCTCTCTAGTCTCTAGAACCAGCTCACTGACACACACAGACAGGGGACATACCTCTCTAGTCTCTAGAACCAGCTCACTGACACACACAGACAGGGGACATACCTCTCTAGTCTCTAGAACCAGCTCACTGACACAGGACAAGAACAAGTTCTCTCCACTGGGTGTCTTCAGGTTCCTGCAAAACATATTTCAAATGCCTTTATTAATTTAAACTTTATCATGAACCTCTGCCACAACCCAATGAGTCACTTAAATGAGCCATACTAGGCTCTACCAACATGACCCCCCCCCCCCTCCCCCAGGCTCTACCAACACAAACCCCTCCAGGCTCTACCAACACGAACCCCTCCAGGCTCTACCAACATGAACCCGTACAGATGCCAGGTCTCAATTTGATATTCTGTTTACGAAGCTTCCTAGTTTGTTTGTTTTTTGTTGCTTTTGCACTGAATATTAAAAGGGTTATTGGCACACCAGGCTGTGGTTTACAACTAGGCTGCGATATCTGTGCCTTCCGATCCAACTCATGGGGAAAAGTTAGGTTGGGGGAGGGGGTTTGTGTGTGGGTGTGGGGTTTTCTACTTCTTTGTCTTTATCTCCAGAATGGGGCTCTAGGAACCCACACAGGAGGCCCTAATATTGGTTTATGCTCACAGATTTCTTTGTCATACAACAAGTAGTCTTCTACATGCAACAAGTAGTCTTCTACATGCAACAAGTAGTCTTCTACTTACAACAAGTAGTCTTCTACTTACAACAAGCAGTCTTCTACTTACAACAAGCAGTCTTCTACTTACAACAAGCAGTCTTCTACTTACAACAAGTAGTCTTCTACATACAACAAGTAGTCTTCTACTTACAACAAGCAGTCTTCTACATACAACAAGTAGTCTTCTACATACAACAAGTAGTCTTCTACTTACAACAATTAGTCTTCTACTTACAACAAGTAGTCTTCTACTTACAACAAGCAGTCTTCTACTTACAACAATTAGTCTTCTACTTACAACAAGCAGTCTTCTACTTACAACAAGCACTCTTCTACTTACAACAAGTAGTCTTCTACTTACAACAAGTAGTCTTCTACATGCAACAAGTAGTCTTCTACTTACAACAAGCAGTCTTCTACTTACAACAAGCAGTCTTCTACATACAACAAGTAGTCTTCTACTTACAACAAGTAGTCTTCTACTTACAACAAGTAGTCTTCTACTTACAACAAGCAGTCTTCTACTTACAACAAGTAGTCTTCGACTTACAACAAGTAGTCTTCTACTTACAACAAGTAGTCTTCTACTTACAACAAGTAGTCTTCTACCTAAAACAAGTAGTCTTCTACTTACAACAAGCAGTCTTCTACTTACAACAAGCAGTCTTCTACTTACAACAAGCAGTCTTCTACTTACAACAAGTAGTCTTCTACTTACAACAAGTAGTCTTCTACTTACAACAAGTAGTCTTCTACTTACAACAAGTAGTCTTCTACTTACAACAAGTAGTCTTCTACCTACAACAAGTAGTCTTCTACTTACAACAAGCAGTCTTCTACTTACAACAAGTAGTCTTCTACTTACAACAAGCAGTCTTCTACTTACAACAAGTAGTCTTCTACTTACAACAAGTAGTCTTCTACTTACAACAAGTAGTCTTCTACTTACAACAAGTAGTCTTCTACTTACAACAAGCAGTCTTCTACTTAAAACAAGTAGTCTTGAACTATTTTTCCGAAGTAGTGTCCTGGTTTGCCCATTTTCTTCATTTGCCCCAGTTTTATGTGAGCCCGGTAACCAAACCCAGACTTTCACGGTAGCAGACGGCCAAACTACAAGCTACACCCAGAAACAGCAGACAAAAAGAAACAGCAGACAAAAAGAAACAGCAGACAAAAAGAAACAGCCTAGAAAAGAAAAAAGATAACCATCTATGCAAATACTGACCTCAGGAAGTAGAAATATTGCAAGGCCTCCCTGGCATCTGTGACCTCGAACTTGCGTGTGTACATCATGATGAGCCTGGCAATGTTTAACCGCCTGATACTAGGTCCGTCTGCAGGGTCTTGGGTCACTGAAACCAAGGTCATGGCCATTTATTGATGGAAGCACATTTATTTATGGTTCTAGCAAACACACTTCACAAACATTCACTATTTTCTTCTTGTAGTGAATTATGTGGCCAGTCACTTTTATTTTTATTTTTTTTTAATTTGTTGCGTATTCGTTGCAAGATGTTGCAAAATCAACCCGAGTATTTTGTTTGCTGTTGAGGTTTTTCTAGGCAAGTTTGCGTCCAGTAATTTGTCACTGCTTTCTTGACGGTCGGCTTCTCGATACCACTATCGAAACCAACCAAGGCACCCCAGCATTACAAAGCGTATTCACAAAGCTTAAGCCACAGACACCAACTCACTTTTATAATGAGTAACAAATTAGCAAAACTGAGAAGTGAATGTAACAAAACAGCAGAGATAGTTATTTTTCTAAGCAAACCTGTTATAGAACTAACAATGGTGCCGGCAGACACAAACAACACAACAACTTACACAGCTGTGCCTGGCTGTTGGGTGGAGTCACCAACAGTTTCATCTCATACAGCACCAGAGCCACATGCACGGCACAGTAGCGCAGCCGCTCTATCCGAGACAAGAACTCAATGGCCGCCTCAAACTGAGCGGTCAGAAACAGGACTTGGAAGTAAAGGAATGGCTGCTGGTAGCCATTGAAGTGTGACTCACCTGTAGGAGAGAGCAGCAATTCTAATTTTTCATCTGTAGCTTCAACAAACATGCATCAACACTAAAAGGAATTCAGTATTTTAACAATTAAATTATGATGTATGTGATGCAAGTGGCAGACCACAAGGTTCAGTCTGACTCATTCAACATTCAGGGTGTCAAAGTGGTGTAAAATACACAGAAACTCCACCTGGTTGACAGAAACTCCACCTGGTTGACAGAAACTCCACCTGGGTGACAGAAACTTCACCTGGTTGACAGAAACTCCACCTGGTTGACAGAAACTCCACCTGATTGACAGAAACTCCACCTGGTTGACAGAAACTCCTCCTGGTTGACAGAAACTCCACCTGGGTGACAGAAACTCCACCTGGTTGACAGAAACTCCACCTGGTTGACAGAAACTCCACCTGGGTGACAGAAACTCCACCTGGGTGACAGAAACTCCACCTGGTTGACAGAAACTCCACCTGGTTGACAGAAACTCCACCTGGTTGACAGAAACTCCACCTGGTTGACAGAAACTCCACCTGGTTGACAAAAACTCCACCTGGTTGACAAAAACTCCACCTGGTTGACAGAAACTCCACCTGGTTGACAGAAACTCCACCTGGTTGACAGAAACTCCACCTGGTTGACAGAAACTCCGCCTGGTTGACAGAAACTCCACCTGGGTGACAGAAACTCCACCTGGTTGACAGAAACTCCACCTGGTTGACAGAAACTCCACCTGGTTGACAGAAACTCCACCTGGTTGACAGAAACTCCACCTGGTTGACAGAAACTCCACCTGGCTACTGCAACACAGTAGCATTGATTTCAGGAAAGTAGGTCAGATGTCTAGTCTTCACAGACAAGTGCCAATAGCAGCGTGTACAACATGTAACTAGTCAACAAGTGAAGCAGGTTTGAAGCCAGCCCAGGAGCTGAGACACAAACAGTCCCATTTTTTCTGGATGATTTATTCACGTCTGTGACAGGGTCTAGCTATCAAGTGCGTAAGGAGTTCACCACATGTCTGTGACAGAGCCTAGCTGTCAAGCGTGTAAGGAGTTAAGCATGTGTCTGTGACAGGGCCTAGCTGTCCAGCATATAAAGAGATAAGCATGTGTCTGTGACAGGGCCCAGCTGTCAAGCATGAAAAGAGTTAAGCATGTGTCTGTGACAGGGCCTAGCTGTCAAGCATGTAAGGAGTTCACCACATGTCTGTGACAGGGCCTAGCTGTCAAGCATGTAAGGAGTTAAGCATGTGTCTGTGACAGCTGTGACAGGGCCTAGCTGTCAAGCATGTAAAGAGATAAGCATGTGTCTGTGACAGGGCCCAGCTGTCAAGCATGAAAGGAGTTAAGCATGTGTCTGTGACAGCTGTGACAGGGCCTAGCTGTCAAGCATGTAAAGAGATAAGCATGTGTCTGTGACAGGGCCCAGCTGTCAAGCATGAAAGGAGTTAAGCATGTGTCTGTGACAGGGCCCAGCTGTCAAGCATGTAAGGAGTTAAGCATGTGTCTGTGACAGGGCCTAGCTGTCAGGTGTAAAAGGAGTTAAGCATGTGTCTGTGACAGGGCCTAGCTGTCAGGTGTAAAAGGAGTTAAGCATGTGTCTGTGACAGGGCCTAGCTGTCAGGTGTAAAAGGAGTTAAGCATGTGTTTGTGACAGGGCCTAGCTGTCAGGTGTAAAAGGAGTTAAGCATGTGTCTGTGACAGGGCCCAGCTGTCAAGCATGTAAGGAGTTAAGCATGTGTCAGTGACAGGGCCCAGTTGTCAAGCATGTAAGGAGTTAAGCATGTGTCTGTGACAGGGCCTAGCTGTCAAGTGTATAAGGAGTTTACTACGTGTCTGTGACAGGGCCCAGCTATCAAGTGTGTAAGGAGTTCACCACATGTCTGTGACAGGGCCCAGCTGTCAAGTGTGTAAAGTGTTCAGCATGTGTCTGTGACAGAACCCAGCTGTCAAGTGTGACATGTCATAGTGCAGCATCACACAAGTCGACTGACATGAGCATTTTCTAAACAAACAATCCAGATCAACACAATATAAAACTGGTGCCATGAAAGGCTTTATCAAGTTCAGGTTACCAGCTGCGATACTTTTTTGTGCAAAGTCATCTATAAAAACATGGATCTATCTCTATATACCCATTACACCTAAAGGTATTCAAGATGACCCTTGACTGATAAAACTTTAAAGTACAGACTAATTCCAATGTCTGTAAACAGTCTTTCAAAAGCTCCTATATTTCTGGCATAAAGGTAAACAATGAAGACACTCAAAAACAACCAGCACTAACTAAACAAACAAACAACAACAGAAATAATGCAAACAGCAAACTGTGCTTGTACCGTAATCAACATATATTATTAACATAAACACCAACTGTACCGTAATTTTCATATAATAATAATCCAAAGTGTACCGTAATCTTCATATGGCATTACCACAAACACTATGTGAATCATAATCTTCATATGGTATTACCACAAACACAAAGTGTACCGTAATCTTCATATGGTATTACCACAAACACAAAGTGTACCGTAATCTTCATATGGTATTAACACAAACACAAAGTGTACCATAATCTTCATAGAGTATCTTCTGTAGCTGTGCCAAAGTCAGCTGGTCCTGACCCCCTTCGGGCGAGGCCTGGTCTTGAACATGTGACAGCTTCATCCACAGGTAGTCGTCAATCTTATCCAAGATCTCTGTGTGGTTTTCTGCCCAATCACAGCGTCCAACTATACAATAGACTGCTCTGTGGTAGGGGGAAGAAACTTGACAATTAGTAAACACTGTGTATGTCATTTGGTAAAGCTTCTACAACACAACACACATTCATAGTCATGCTACTTCCTACACAGCAGGATAAAGAGAGAGCTGACAGACATGTTTGAAGAGACAGCTGACAGACATGTTTGAAGAGACAGCTGACAGACATGTTTGAAGAGAGAGCTGACAGACATGTTTGAAGAGAGAGCTGACAGATATGTTTGAAGAGACAGCTGACAGACATGTTTGAAGAGAGAGCTGACAGACATGTTTGAAGAGAGAGCTGACAGATATGTTTGAAGAGATAGCTGACAGACATGTTTGAAGAGATAGCTGACAGATATGTTTGAAGAGATAGCTGACAGATATGTTTGAAGAGATAGCTGACAGACATGTTTGAAGAGATAGCTGACAGACATGTTTGAAGAGAGAGCTGACAGACATGTTTGAAGAGACAGCTGACAGACATGTTTGAAGAGACAGCTGACAGATATGTTTGAAGAGACAGCTGACAGATATGTTTGAAGAGATAGCTGACAGATATGTTTGAAGAGATAGCTGACAGATATGTTTGAAGAGATAGCTGACAGATATGTTTGAAGAGATAGCTGACAGATATGTTTGAAGAGATAGCTGACAGATATGTTTGAAGAGATAGCTGACAGACATGTTTGAAGAGATAGCTGACAGACATGTTTGAAGAGAGAGCTGACAGACATGTTTGAAGAGAGAGCTGACAGACATGTTTGAAGAGAGAGCTGACAGACATGTTTGAAGAGAGAGCTGACAGACATGTTTGAAGAGAGAGCTGACAGACATGTTTGAAGAGATAGCTGACAGACATGTTTGAAGAGACAGCTGACAGACATGTTTGAAGAGACAGCTGACAGACATGTTTGAAGAGAGAGCTGACAGACATGTTTGAAGAGAGAGCTGACAGACATGTTTGAAGAGAGAGCTGACAGACATGTTTGAAGAGAGAGCTGACAGACATGTTTGAAGAGATAGCTGACAGACATGTTTGAAGAGAGAGCTGACAGACATGTTTGAAGAGATAGCTGACAGACATGTTTGAAGAGATAGCTGACAGACATGTTTGAAGAGATAGCTGACAGACATGTTTGAAGAGACAGCTGACAGACATGTTTGAAGAGATAGCTGACAGACATGTTTGAAGAGACAGCTGACAGACATGTTTGAAGAGACAGCTGACAGACATGTTTGAAGAGAGAGCTGACAGACATGTTTGAAGAGACAGCTGACAGACATGTTTGAAGAGAGAGCTGACAGGACATGTTTGAAGAGACAGCTGACAGACATGTTTGAAGAGAGAGCTGACAGACATGTTTGAAGAGAGAGCTGACAGACATGTTTGAAGAGATAGCTGACAGACATGTTTGAAGAGATAGCTGACAGACATGTTTGAAGAGATAGCTGACAGACATGTTTGAAGAGACAGCTGACAGACATGTTTGAAGAGAGAGCTGACATGACATGTTTGAAGAGACAGCTGACAGACATGTTTGAAGAGACAGCTGACAGACATGTTTGAAGAGATAGCTGACAGACATGTTTGAAGAGAGAGCTGACAGACATGTTTGAAGAGACAGCTGACAGACATGTTTGAAGAGATAGCTGACAGACATGTTTGAAGAGACAGCTGACAGGACATGTTTGAAGAGACAGCTGACAGATATGTTTGAAGAGAGAGCTGACAGACATGTTTGAAGAGAGAGCTGACAGACATGTTTGAAGAGAGAGCTGACAGACATGTTTGAAGAGATAGCTGACAGACATGTTTGAAGAGAGAGCTGACAGACATGTTTGAAGAGAGAGCTGACAGACATGTTTGAAGAGATAGCTGACAGACATGTTTGAAGAGAGAGCTGACAGACATGTTTGAAGAGATAGCTGACAGACATGTTTGAAGAGATAGCTGACAGATATGTTTGAAGAGATAGCTGACAGACATGTTTGAAGAGATAGCTGACAGACATGTTTGAAGAGATAGCTGACAGATATGTTTGAAGAGATAGCTGACAGACATGTTTGAAGAGATAGCTGACAGACATTTTTGAAGAGAAAGCTGACATGTTTGAAGAGACATCTGACAGACATGTTTGAAGAGATAGCTGACAGACATGTTTGAAGAGATAGCTGACAGACATGTTTGAAGAGATAGCTGACAGATATGTTTGAAGAGATAGCTGACAGACATGTTTGAAGAGATAGCTG